TTGTGTGTGTGTTTGTGTGTGTTTTTGTGTGTGTTTTTGTGTGTGTTTTTGTGTGTGTTTGTTTGTGTGTGTTGTGTGTGTTTGTGTGTGTTGTGTGTGTGTGTGTGTGTGTGTGTTTGTGTGTGTTTGTGTGTGTTTGTGTGTGTGTGTGTGTTTGTGTGTGTTTGTGTGTGTTTGTGTGTTTGTGTGTGTGTGTGTTTGTGTGTGTTTGTGTGTGTTTGTGTGTGTTTGTGTGTGTTTGTGTGTGTTTGTGTGTGTTTGTGTGTGTTTGTGTGTGTGTGTGTGTGTGTGTGTTGTGTGTGTTGTGTGTGTGTGTGTGTTTGTGTGTGTCTGTGGGTGTCTGTGGGTGTCTGTGTGTTTGTGTGTGTATGTCTGTGTGTGTGGGTGTGTGTGTGCGTGTGTGTGTGTGTGCTGTTTGCGTGCAACACTCGGCTGCCGCATGTCTCAACTCTTGCCACAGCAAGTCAAAGCGAATAAAGCCGACACGTGTGTGTGTGTGTCACACTTGAGTGCGTGAGAGCGTGTGTGCTAGCGCGGATATCTGCAAAGTTTGCTCCTTTTGTGACTGATAAGCTTCGGTGTTGCGAGCTCTCTGCAAGGGTTGCTCAACTTGCTCTGCGTGCGCAAGTGCTCTGTGCAAGTTGCGATGCGCAAGCGCTATGCACAAGTGTGCTGCGCAAGCTCGGGTCAAGTTTCCATGAGCAAGTTCTCCGAGCAAGTTGTTGAGCCGGAGCTGCCGTGGACCAGGGGGAATCAAACCCGCGACCGTGGGATTGCCAGGCGCGCAAACCACGAGACAACTTCCAAAGGCCATTTCGTGAGCGGGGCCACAGCGAGAGCGCTTTGACACGCACGATCCCCGCAGAGGGTCGCGCGCGCACCTCAGAAATTGTAAAAAGGTCTCAGTTTTTGCGCATCGACCACGCCAATCCCCGAGGAGGGTCGCGCGCCCAAATCAGAAATCGTAAAAAGTCCCCAGTTTTTGCACATCGACCACGCCAATCCCCGTAGAGGGTCGCGCGCGGCAGAAATCGTAAAAAGTCGTCAGTTTTTGTAAAAAGCCCTCAGTTCTTGCACCTCGACCACGCCAATGCAGAGGGCCGCGCGCTCATGTTAAGAATCGTAAAAAGTCCGCAGGTTTTGGACATCGACCGCGCCAATCCCCGCAGAGGGTGTCATTTTCGCAGGGTGGGTTTGGTCCCACCGCGCCGCCTAACTGATTACTTTCGTGTCCACATGTCTCGTTCAAATTTGGCTCGTGCAAGTTGGCTCGTGCAAGTTGGCTCGTGCAAGTTGGCTCGTGCAAGTTGGCTCGTGTAAGTTGGCTCGTCTAAGGTGGCTCGTGCGAGTTGGCTGTGCAAGTTGGCTCGTGCAAGTTGCAAGTTGCGTGCAAGTTGGCTCGTGTAAGTTGGCTCGTGCAAGTTGGCTGTGCAAGTTTGGCTGTGTGATAAGGCTGGCGATTTCACCGGAACAAGGCTGTGTGATAAGGCTGGCGATTTAACCAGAAGAACCCTTCGCAACTTTCGGGAAAAAACGTACTGGGCGCGTCTTGCTGTGCGCGAAATGCGTGTAGGAGGGGCTTGGCCCAGGGCATTTAGCAAATACAAAAAGGCAATCGAAGGACACCAGCTGAATTCGTTATCGTTGGCAAGCGGCGGTGGGTGTCAACAAGACACACGCGTGTCATGAAAGAACGTATCAAGAAAGTGTTGCAAATTTGTTGGACTTGTCACAGGGCAGCGAAGCAGTGGGGCTGCCGATTTTCTTCTTTGTGGCGCGGCTGGGGGGCAGCGGTCATTGAGCTTGTGTATGTTTTGCTGTGCAAAATCAACCGCGCTTGTCAGCCCGTGGGTCCGATCACCAAGGACAAGTGCGTTGAGCATGATTGGATATGTTATTTGCAAGACCAGGGCCAGCCTTTGAGTCAAAATCGATGCCATTTTCGGCTCAGTGCATTTGCGGCGTTGCCGTGCAAACAGCAGCTATGGCTGCTCGACATTGACATGTTTGCGTAGTATTGAGACTTGACGTTCCAGTGCCGTTTTGCGTGTAGTGTGGTCGTTGGACGCGATGCTGGTGCCAAGGCTCAGACAAGCTACACGCCGCCAGTAGTTGGGTGCTCAGCTTGGGGTGGCTGTCAGGGACATTGCCCTAACGAATTTGACTTGGCAAAACCCTAATCAAGCCAACGGTTGCCCATCGTCTTTCAAACTATGCTTGTGTGTTCCCACCACTGCCTGGCATTGTGCCCGTTAAAACTAGATATGGGTGACATTTCAACGGAAACCACATTTTTCCCCAACAGCTGAAAGCTTTGGGGTCTCAGCCCAGATAGGCTCCGGGGTGGTTCGGGGCGGCCCTGAGGTAAGTGGTTTGAGGTAAGGTTCCACGAGGGTTCCACCAGGTTCTGCGAGAGTGGTTTGAGGTAAGGTTCCACGAGGGTTCCACCAGGGTTCCACCAGGTTCTGCGAGGGCTGCGGGGTGGTCCGAGGTAAGGTTCCACCAGGTTCCACCACATTCCACCAGCGTTCGTGGTCCGGGTGGTTTGAGGTAAGGTTCCACCAGGTTCCACCAGGGTTCCACCAGAGTCCCACCATGTTCTGCCAGGGCTGCGGGGTGGTTGGTTGATCTAAGGGTTCCAGCACGGTTCCTTCTGCGAGGGCTGCGGGGTGGTCCGAGGTGGTTTGAGGTAGACAACAAATGTTCTGCAAGGAAGCAATGTGCCCACCGTCTGAAAAGCCATCGGAGCAGTAAATTGAGGGCTCAGAAGATCGCTTTGCTCATGGGCGGAACACTAAGCAAAACCGAAATCAATGGTTTTCAGCACACTTTCACTGTTTTGTCACTTGCTCACTTGCTCAGGCAACGCCTTGGCTTGTGGCAAATCAGATCACACTCACTGTGTAGCAGAGTACATGCTTGGCATTTCTGAGTATTACTTGGTGGGTTGAGTTCCAAGGGTTCCACAAGCCAGGGCTACGGGGTAAAGCTCCAAAAGTGCTCCACGAGGTTTCCACCAGGTTCTGCAAAAGCTTTCGGGCAGCCCTGAGGAAAGGTTCCAACAACGTTTCACGCTGAGCTCCACCCAGGGTTCCACGAAGACGGTTTGCGGGCCTACCAAGCTGGCATCGCCCAGTTTTGCTAGATACAGTTGCAAGGCCGCATCCTAAGGAAAACCGGCGTTGAGCTATAATATGGGTGGCTGGCGTTGGTGGGGGCCCGCTTGCGCCACGACCATCGGGCCCCGGTCGGGGCCCGATTGCACCGTCGGGCCCCGTCCGGCCCCGCTCGGTCGGGCCCCGCCCCGATTGCAGCATCGGGCCCCGATCGGGCCCCGATTGCGCAGTCGGGCCCCGATCGGGCCCCGATTGTGCTGTCGGGCCCCGACTTAGCTTTGCTTCATAAAGTTACAAAGCGGCATCCTCAGCAAAACTGGTGGTGAGGTGGGTCCGGGCCCTTCTGCGAGGATTCTGGGAGGTTGTGGTGCTGTTGGGGATATCGCCTGAGCTTATTTTGTGTGCCAAACTGTTTGTTTCATTTTTTTTTGCAGGGCTACTTTGCGCGCAAGTTCGGATTCATGTTAAACCCAAGGCTTGAACCTCACTAATGCTGAGGGCTGCTTCGTGCGGGCCGGTGCCCAGACAGGCCCATGCTTGCCGCAGGCCCCATGGTGGGGGGGTTGGGAGCTTTGATGCTTGTGATATCCTTGGCTGAAATCGGACAAATGGTGTGCAAGGCGGGCAGCTTCCGGCCAATGGACACGCGGCTGCATAGATTCACAGGCCGTGCTCTTGCGGATGATAGCGGCAACATTTGTGGCTTGGGAACAAAAGTGCAACACGACATCGTGACTTCATGCTAACCCCCATCATGAGCATGAGTGGCTAAGGTCGTGGTTCCAAGGGGGCGGGATGTTCAGGCGCGCAGGGCTTTTCGCGGAACAGCCCTTCCCTCGGTCCCTTGCTTCGCTTTGCAGAGCATGCTGCCTTTGATTGAATTTGCGCAGTGCCATTTGATGAGGTCCGTGATGCGAGTTACGTATTGCATATCAGAGGCACTTGTGGTCAACTTCCACGTTCTGCCTGCGCACTCTTGTAGAGTCTTGGTTGGTGTGTGGCACCCCTGACATGGTGTGCCCTCCAAGTGGGTTACAGCTAGTTTCCGACTTTCGACGTCAACAATAGCAAACATATCTAGCGGGAGGCTTGCGCCACTCCTAATCTAGTTGCCATGGCGCGCGGGAGGCAGTCGGTTCGCACCTGACGCCTGGCCTCAAACAGTCAACCAACATAGCCTTTTCGACGAGATAAATGCTTGCTAGGCAATGATTTCACGCCTTCACTCTAGCCTGTGAGGCATCCCGTAGAAGCTGTGGAGAACCCAAGGTTTCGTGGGAAATGTGGACACCTACGCCACTGTGTGTCACACAAACGCTTCTAATGTGGAGCTGTTGGTCGTCAGCGAAGAGGGGCATCATGTGCTGGTAGAATCTTGGCAAACTGGTCCAAGATCTTTTGCTCCCATTCTTGTGGACATGATTTTTGCGTGAAGGCATAATGCGTGTGGCCATGTTGATGCCACCATGCTGTTGCAGTGCTGGAATTGAAGAGTGCAATCTCCGCAGCACAAGACGGCTGGGCGGAACGGCTGTGTCACCTTGTCGTGTTCCCTTTCTTTGCTTGCAGCTGTTGGTTTGTGAAAGCCATTGACATACATGACAAGCGCTGATTGGCACGTTTAGACCAGCAGACTCAGGTCCAACTCAGTCACACCTGGCCGCACGTGCATTCTCATTGAAGCAAGTGGCAGCCGGGTTGTGGTGCAGAGGGTTTGCGCTCAACTCACGTGCTCCTTGACATGGGGGCGAAGTTTGCGGCCGCTTTTGTGCCTACACCTAGGGCGTAGCCTGGGCCTGGTGGCCGGGCTGCTGGCCTACTTTGCAGGAGTTGTGGGGCAAGTGGTGAAGGATGCAGTGCACTCAGAAACAAGGCATCAACTTGTGACAGGTGGGGCGCTGTTGATCAGTGCAGTGTTGCCCCTTCTTTCGTTGAAGCTGAGCTGCTCCACGTCTTGGAGTTGCCAAAAGGGGGCAGGCGGTGCAGCACAGCTTCGGTGAGCTTCCTAGGTCAAGATCACTCCAGCCACGGATGTTCGGGGATAGGATGTTCTTTGCGAGGGTGCTTCGAACGGCCTTTTCTGAGAAAATATGCTGACATGCCGTTCTTCAGGCCATGCTGGGCTTGAACACAAGCGGCTGTTTGCTTTCCCATGCGTGCCAGCCGAATCAGTGAGGAGATGCGGCATGGTCAGGCATGAGGCTGGAAGCGAGCCAGAAAGGCATGGTTCATGCCCCAACCGTTTTGATGCAAGCGGGCAGCCAACGTGCCTCCGAGAAAACCAAGACCCGTTTGCTCTTCGCATCTTTTCGCATTTCCCATTTGCGATTGGCCCTGGGCCAGGGTTGGGCCAGGGTGAAGATTTCTTAGATTCAACAGTAGAGATTACCGGGTTCGGACTCATTTGTGCCAACCGCCTCTCTCAGGCAACTGCGCGTTGCCTGCCGAGCTGAGGCGGATTGCATGGTGCCTCAAACAGATGGATCAACTGCCTAGGGCTGTGCATGGAGGAGAACTGAGAGAACGCAAGCAAACAGCGCACGCACAGCTCTCAAAAGGCATCCACAGGTTCGAAGGTCAGCGCAAACGTGATTTGAACATGAACATGACAGATGGCTTTCCTTGTGCATCCTTTGTGGCAGAATCGATGGACCGGTCGTGCTCAGATCTAAACTAGCTCCGGCTTCATACTTTTCAAGGTTTTTCCTCTTGTGGTCAGGTTGCAAGAGCCATGATTTTGACATATCGTAGCAGGCCTTCCAGTACAGAAGGCGTGCATGCTAGCTGCAACTCTGCAGCGTGCGATTTCAAGAAGCAGAGCCTTAAGATGTTTCTCTCCCGTCAGAGTGAAGCGATCCCATTTGCAATGAACTTGCTCAGATTGCACTTGGCGCCGCAGGTGGACTCTGAAAGCAACGGGCCGCGCATGTACTTCCAGGCCAGCCATACCCAAACATCCCAATCCATGGCAGATCCGTTTTCAAGACTTCTAGGACTAGGACTTACTTGGTTGGCATGGGTTGTCATGTGTGCAGCCAGCAAGAGAATCTGTTCAGCAAGGCATGCCCAACATACGGATCCCCATGGCCCAAGAGCGCACGGACTCAGCCAACTTCCGCGCAGCCAGGACGACCGCGGCACCCCGAAGGGCGGCGCCTTTTGGGGACGGTCCACGGAGGAGAAGTGGGCTCCTGAGCGGGGCCCTTCCCTTCACGGTTTCAGCAGCTTCGCAGTCATGTACATTCCGGCTATATCAGGGATCACTGCTTCGTCTAGTGGGTTTGTAGAGTGTTTCAAACTGATAACCCTTGAATATATGCCGTCATACAAATGCCGACTGTTCAGAAGGAGAATGCCCGTGCCACCTTTTTTGGCGGCAGTTGGTTTCATTTTTCAACATCAGAAGGGTGTTTCCTAAAATAGGGGCTCCCCAAGCAGACAAGGTCAAGCACGCGCCCAGGTGGGGTGAGAAAGCCGAAGGCGAGGCCGGCCGCTTCGACAAGGATGACCTGGTCGAGGCCCAGTACCCCGGCACCGAGGATTGGTACTGTGCTCAGGCGGGGAAAGCGAGTAGCTGGTGTCATCGGAGCTGACAACGAGAGCCTTGTTGTACCAATGCAGCTGAGCAAGATTGGCCTTGCAGGTGAAGCTAGTGAAGTGAATCGGACTACCCCTAACGGCATAGTCTGGGATCTAATGACAACCACGCTTGTGCCGCTCTCTTGCGTGGCATTCGTCAGGTGATGAAGTACATCGGCAAGGGTGACTGGAGCCTTTTCTGCAATGTGACTCCTCCAAGGGCAAGCGCGAGTTCTTGACGGATCTCTTATCCTTTTCGGAGGGTGCCGACATGTGCCAAGTATTTTCTTCTTAGGGCGACTTTTTCTTAGGTCCGGTTCTTCGGTTGGTTCCCAGGTTGGTCGGTCAGTCCGTAGCTTGGGAGCGACCAGCTTTGACCAGGTTTTGTGCTGTCAAAGCCGGCACGAGGCCCATATTGCATGGTGCCACAACAAACCAACTCAAAAGCCAACCTGATTTTGTAGCGCTTGCTTAGCGGATTCCCACTTGGCATTCAACAATGCCTGGGCTAAAATAAACCTCCAACCTGAAAGTCCGAGGATCATCATGTGGGTGGACGACATGCCGGACGACACTGCCAAGGCATGTGTGGTCAAGACGTGGCCCGGCTGGATGAAATCGCTTTGGGTAGCCCAGCCCAAGTTGTCCGTCCGACACTAGATGCTTGAAGAGCCCGCCATGGCTGTAGCCTGCGTGGGATTATTCGCTTGGCAGCGAGACTGCTCTAAGTTTCCAAGCTGCTTTTGGTCAGCGCGGGTTTTGCTAGACTTTGCTTGCATTGATGGAGTAACGCAGTCACGAAAACAATGCCTAGGGACGAGATGAAGCACATCAAGCTAAACTTGGCCTGATGGTCGAGCTTCCCTCGCTTTTCACTTGATCATCTTCAGAGGCAGGCGGGGTGCAAAGCATGTTAGCATATCCGGGCTTTGCATTCAAATTTAAGAGCCTCGAATGCTCTGAGGATCTGCCCGATGGTGTGTTTTGCGACCCTGGCCTGGCTCCTTTGCCCAGGCCAGCGCTGGCCTGACCAATTTTCTCACGGAGCTTCTCCGCGCTGCCTACAATATGGCGTGCCTTTTCCTGATGTTTCGATTGTTTCAAAAGCAAGCGCCGCAGACGGACTGACGAAAAGCATTTGTATTAGATCGAGCAATGCTCTTCTTTAGAGGTTGCAATTTGGTTCCTAAGCCTGCTGACGCAGTGATGTGGTGTTCCTCTGGTCCGGGTGCCATTGAATGCGCGAGACCAGAGCAGCTGGTGCGAAAGAGCACGGAACTTGCGGAGGAAAGAGGGCGCAGCTGTTGTTTTGGCATGTAAACGGGTTCGGCAAGGCGCTGGCGGCATTAAGGCCACATCGCAATCCGTGACATTGTCTACCCTGCTCAACGTTCTTGAGATTCTTGGGATGAGTTGATGTTTAATGTTCTTAGGTCAGGGCATATGCAGAGATTGGTGCCCGGCATCGCACGCGGCGTTTACAGTAGCCTTCCGTCCTCGACCTAGCTTTGTCCCATTTGGTATGAGTCCACGGTTGGAAGGATTGATCGCTGGCTACCTTAAGATTGCAAGCTCAAGGCTCATCATGTTGCCCAGGCTGTCCATGTGCTTCTATAGACTTCCAACCCCAAACTTGCGATGGCCAGGTGTCTCTGCGATCGCCGTCCATCAGCTTGAGGAGGGAGGAGCAAGCGGGGGCTGCGTGCGCCAGTGGGCTTAAAGGAATGGAGGATCTCACGTGAACGGAGAAGCATGGGGCATGCGTCATGAGATTCAATCATTCTGGCTGAGGTCAACCGTTGGCGTGCTTTGCTTTGTTTTTCGGCCATCTTGAGGCTCATATCCACGTGTCATGGCCATTGGAGATCGGTTCGGCGGTTTTCATCCCCAAGGCATGTGCAACATGAGCGCATGGGGAGCTTTCCCGTCCGTTTTCGGCGGGAGATTCTCCCTTTGAGCGTGTACAAAAGACTTCCGGATGGGAAGCCCCGCAGGAGACTTCCCCAGTTCGCTGGACCGGGTTGGCGGCCCCAGCCTGGCCTGTCCCCTCCGGTATTGCAAGGGAAAGCGCCGAATGTCTAGAATGGCCGAGCAAGCCAGGGGGTTGGTAACCGGCACCCTGCCTGATGGTTATGGCAGCCGGCTGCCAAGGGCTCAATCTAGAATTGGGGGTAGGCCCCATGGCGTTAGGCTGGACACGCCGATGTTGACTCCCCAGGCAGGGTGTTGCATGTGGCCGCTGAGGGTAGCAATAGATGTGGGCGACGTTTTCAAACGCAGGTGCCGGGTCAAAACGTGCTTTGTCCGAGAGCATTGTCTAAATGTCGGCAGCCTCGGGCCGAACAAAGCAAACAAAGCAAACAAAAGGCCGGGCATTCGCATCCTATGAATTGCACTTCAATCGTTGAATCATGGCTTCCCTTTGGGTCGGCTCTTTGTGGCTATGGTGTGCTTGCCGGTCAGGCCGAGTACCGCTGCTTTAGCCAGGGGCCAGGCGCGCGGTTTGCTGGGAAAAGAAGCTGGGCTTCAGGTCCACGCAAGAAAAGGAAAGGAAAGGGAAGGAAGGAAAGGCGAGAACGAAAGAACAAAGTAACAAAAGAAACAAAGAAGGGGAGAAAAAACAAAACCGAAGGAAAGAAAGAAAGAAAGAAAGAAAGAAAGAAAGAAAGAAAGAAAGAAAGAACAAAATAACAACAACCAGAAAGAAGGACAGAAAGAAGGAAGAAAGTAAAGAGAGAAAGACAGACAGACAGACAGACAGACAGACAGACAGACAGACAGACAGACAGACAGACAGACAGAAAGAAAGAAAGAAAGAAAGAAAGAAAGAAAGAAAGAAAGAAAGAAAGAAAGAAAGAAAGAAAGGCAGACAGAAAGTAAGAAAGACATAAAGAAAAACATAAGCAAAGAAAGAGGAAATAAGAAAGACATAAAAAAGCGAGGAAATAATAAACAAAGAAGCAAAGAAACAAAGACACAAATAGCAACGAAACAAAGAAACAAAGAATCCGGGAAGCAAAGACACAAAGACATAAACAAACAAAGACACAAAGACGGGAAGCAAGGAAACAGAAACAAGGAAACAAAGAAGCAAAGAAACAAAGAAACAACGGCTTGGGGAAACCAAGAAACAAAGAAGCAAACAAACAAAGAAGCGAAGAAACAAAGAAACCAAGAAGCAAAGCAACAAAGAAACAAAGACATGAAGAAACAAAGAAGCAAAGACCTGAAGAAGCAAAGAAAAAAGAAACCAAGACACCAAGAAGCAAAGAGACAAATAAATAGAGAAGCAAAGAAAGAAAGAAAGAAATACAGAAAGAAGCAACGAAACAAATAAGCAAAGAAACAAAGACATGAAGAAACAAAGAAGCAAAGACATGAAGAAGCAAAGAAACAAAGAAACCAAGACACCAAGAAACAAAGAGAGAAAGAAATAGAGAAGCAAAGAAAGAAAGAAAGAAATACACAACTTAACAAAGAAACAAAGAAACAAAGAAGCAAAGAAGCATATAAACAAATACAAAGGAAACAAAGAAACAAAGAAACAATCAAACAAAGAAGCAAAGAAGCAAAGAAGCCAAGAAGCAAATAAACAAAGCAACAAAGACACAACACAATTCAGAAACAAAGAAACAAATACACAAAACGAAGAAACAAGGAAACAAGGAAACAAAGAAACAGGAACAAAGAAACAAAGAAGCAAAGAAACAAAGAAGCAAATACGCAAAGTAACAACGAAACTAAGCAACACAGAAACAACAAAGTACGGAAACAAAGCAGCGGAACAAAACGAAGAAACAAAGAAGCAAATAGACAAGGAAACAAGGGAACAAGGAAACAAAGCAGCAACGAAGCAAAGGAAGAAACAAAGAAAGAAAGACAGAAAGACATAAAGAAAGAATAAAGAAAGAAACAAAGAAGCAAACACACACAGAAACAGAAACAAAGGAACAAAGAAGCAAGGAAACAAATAAACGCAGAAACAAAGAAGCAAATAAGACAAAAATAACCAAAGAAGCAAAGATGAAAGAAGAAAGGACAGGCAGAGACAAAGAAGGAAAGACAAAGAAAAGAAGCACATCAGCAATAAACAAGGACACAGACACAAAGAAACAAATCAACAAAGAAAGAAAGGAATGAAAGAGCTAAACAAAGAACGAAAGACTCAAAGAAAGACAGAAAAACAGAAAGAAAAATACAGAAAGTCAGAAAGTCAGAAAGACAGAAAGTCAGAAAAACAGAAAGACAGAAAGAGAGAAATACAGAAACAAAGAAACACAATTCAAAGAAACAAAGAAGCAAAGACACAAAGAAGCAAAGAAACAAGGAAAGAAAGAATTGAAGAAGCAAAGACAGACAGAGGCAAAGAGACAACGAGGCAAATACACAAAGAAACAAAGAATACAAAGAAGCAAACAAACAAAGACACAAAGACACTAAGAGGCAAAGAGGCAAAAAGCACAAAAATAATGAAGAGTCACAGAATCAGCGAAACAATCAAACAAAGAAGCAACTACACAAAGAATCAACAAGACAAAGAGACAATGAAACAATAAAACACCGTAAAAGAAACACAACAACCAAGAAAGCACGTAAATCAATAAAACATAATAAACACATGAAACGAGTCATGAACAAATACAGAACGAAACACAGAAAGAGACAAAGGAAGTAAAGAAAGAAAGACAGAAATACATAAAGAAAGAAAGAAAGAAAGAAAGAAAGAAAGAAGGAAAGAAAGAAACAAATAAATAAATAAATAAAGAAAGAAAAGAAATAAAGAAAGAAACAAAATAAAGAAAGAACAACATACAGAAAGAAACAAAGAAAGAAATAAAGAAAGAAACAATTAAATAAAGAAATAAAGAAAGAAAGAAAGAAAGAAATAAAGAAAATAAAGAAAGAAATAAATTAAATAAAGAAATAAAGAAAGAAAGAAATAAATACAGAAAATAGAGAAAGAAATAAAAATAAAGAAAGAAAGAAAGAAAGAAAGAAAGAAAGAAAGAAAGAAAGAAAGAAAGAAAGAAAGAAATAAAGAAAGAAATAAAGAAAGAGAGAAATAAAGAAAGAAAGAAATAAATAAACAAATAAAGAAAGAAAGAAAGAAAGAAAGAAAGAAAGAAACAACTAAAGAAAGAAAGAAAGAAAGAAAAAACCAAGGAAGCAAAGATGAAAGAAGAAAGGACAGGCAGAGACAAAGAAGGAAAGACAAAGAAAAGAAGCACATCAGCAATAAACAAGGACACAGACACAAAGAAACAAATCAACAAAGAAAGAAAGGAATGAAAGAGCTAAACAAAGAACGAAAGACTCAAAGAAAGACAGAAAAACAGAAAGAAAAATACAGAAAGTCAGAAAGTCAGAAAGACAGAAAGTCAGAAAGACAGAAAGACAGAAAGAGAGAAATACAGAAACAAAGAAACACAATTCAAAGAAACAAAGAAGCAAAGACACAAAGAAGCAAAGAAACAAGGAAAGAAAGAATTGAAGAAGCAAAGACAGACAGAGGCAAAGAGACAACGAGGCAAATACACAAAGAAACAAAGAATACAAAGAAGCAAACAAACAAAGACACAAAGACACTAAGAGGCAAAGAGGCAAAAAGCACAAAAATAATGAAGAGTCACAGAATCAGCGAAACAATCAAACAAAGAAGCAACTACACAAAGAATCAACAAGACAAAGAGACAATGAAACAATAAAGCACCGTAAAAGAAACACAACAACCAAGAAAGCACGTAAATCAATAAAACATAATAAACACATGAAACGAGTCATGAACAAATACAGAACGAAACACAGAAAGAGACAAAGGAAGTAAAGAAAGAAAGACAGAAATACATAAAGAAAGAAAGAAAGAAAGAAAGAAAGAAAGAAGGAAAGAAAGAAACAAATAAATAAATAAATAAATTTATAAAGAAAGAAAATAAATAAAGAAAGAAAGAAAGAAAATGAAGAAAGAACAACATACAGAAAGAAACAAAGAAAGAAATAAAGAAAGAAACAATTAAATAAAGAAATAAAGAAAGAAAGAAAGAAAGAAAGAAATAGAGAAAATAAATAAAGAAAGAGATTAAATAAATAAATAACGAAAGAAGGAAAGAAAGAAAGAAACAATTAAATCAAGAAATAAAGAAAGAAAGAAATAAACAAAGAAAGAAATAAAGAAAGACACAACTAAATAAAGAAATAAAGAAAGAAAGAAATAAAGAAATTAAAGAACGCAAGAAAGAAAGAAAGAAAGAAAGAAATGCAGAAATAAATAAAGAACAAAGGAAAGAAAGAAGGACAGAAAGAAAGACAGAAAGAAGGAAACAAAGAAAGAAAGACAGAAATACATAAAGAAAGAAAGAAAGAAAGAAAGAAAGAAGGAAAGAAAGAAACAAATAAATAAATCAATAAATAAATAAAGAAAGAAAAGAAAGAAAGAAATAAATAAATAAAGAAAATAAAGAAAGAACAACATACAGACAGAAAGAAAGAAAGAAAGACAGAAAGAAAGAAGGAAAGAAAGAAACAAATAATTAAATAAAGAAAGAAAGAAATAAAGAAACACATAACTAAAGAAAGACAGAAAGAAAAGGGAATACTGAAAGAAAGCAAGGAAGGAAGGAAGGAAGGACGCAAGGAAGGGCACACTCTAAGCAATACATATTTGAACAAAACACAGAAAACTTCTAAGTAAAGAATAAACATAAATACAAAAATCAACATATAAGAAAAGGAAAGCAATATGGAATTCAACCTATAAGAAAAGTAAATGCCTAAATTAACCTTCCACGAAAAATCAAGGACGGAAATACATAAGGAAAGGAAGCTTGGGACCGGGAGGGGGGGGAAAACAAAAGGAGAGAGAGAGAGAGAGGCACCGCCGCATTTTTCCCAGGCAACAGGAAGCTTCCTTTCATGTGGCTCGATGCTTGTGTGGTCGAGACGGCCTGCCAGGTGCCACTGTCGGGGGCCAAGACGCAGACAGTTTCAGCATAAGGTGTCGATTGTCCGTGACGGATGGGCGGGGCACGCCCGCGGCACCTTCCTTGCGGCGAGAAGCATGGGTGATATTTTGCTTGCGCCGGGCATCGCCTTCAAGCCCTTCTTCCTGAGGCCCGTCGCCCATTCCCACACCTGGCGCAGGTGGTGGGGATAGGAGAATTGGGGAAAGACGGTGTGTGCTCCGCCGAAAGCTTGCTGATTCGTGCCAAGGGGTCTCAGCTAATCTTGGGGTTCGTCACTTGGAGCCCCAAGCCAGTCTGTGACCAGCTCAGTTGTTCGCATCGGCGCAGGTGCAGGCGCAGGTGCCACAGGCGCACGTGCCACAGGCGCACGTGCCACAGGCGCAGTGCGTTCCCAGCCCACAGGCGGCAGCGTCGGGGGACCCAGTGGAAGGATCACTGGCCTGTTGGAGTGTTGTTTTTCAGTGTAGCAGAAGTCCAAAAAACCGGGCCGTGGGTTTTTAGGTTCAGGTTTAGGCTTCTTTCACAGCGTCAGGCTTAGGTGTTTAGGGTTTAGGATCGCTTGTGGTTTAGGTTTTTGTTTCGGGTTTGAGGTTTGATGTTTTTTGGGCTTGGGAGGTTCAAAGGGTAGAGGTTTCGGGCTTTTAGGTTTAGGTTTTAGGGTTCGGGTTTAAGGGTAAAAGGGTTTAGGTTTAGCGTTTTTAAGGTTTTGGTTGAGGCTTTATAGGGCTTATGTTTAGGGTTTTAAGGTCTTGGTTTGGGGCTTTAGGGTTTAGATTTAGGGGTGTGAACTGCAGAAAAAACAAGGCCGGCGGGCTTTCTCCCTCAGCAGCCCCACATCACTGGCCTTCCGAGTAGTTTGTACTTCTGTCTAGTCCGTCCCAAGGCGTTAGGGTTTAGGGTTTCCCACCAGTTAGGCATTCTGGGTCTTACATTCAGTTGGTTGCTGTCGCGAGTCCTGAGCAAGCAGGCACGCTGTTTCGCCTTTTTTGCGATCCTTTGGACGGCCCCCCCTTTATCGCCAGAAAAGCTTGCCTGAGGCTCCTGGCAATGCCGTGGCCCCAGCTCCGAGGAGGGAAGTATCGTTGTCAGTGTATGTAGTGGTCTTTGTGTGACTGCCTCCATTGCGCAAGAGCCTGTTGCGCAGGCTTGAACGGATATTTCACAATGTGATCCACAAAGTCATACGATTGGGGCTGGTTGACACTGTCCACCGACCTCTACATGTGGCTCAGGTCTCCGCAGCTGGTAACACGTGGCAGTGCTCCGCCTGCAGGGCTCCGGCCGGCCGCGGGACCCAGAAACATCCGAAGATCATGGTTGCATTTGTACTTGGCTGTTGGGCACTCGAGATGGATCTTGTCAGCTGGGCTGAGGCCATTTGCCAGGCCTTTGCGTCACCCTGGCATGGTTCAGAGAGGAACAGGTCGCTGTCCGTGGGCAGGTCCCATGGGTTCAGGGCCTGCTGCCTTTCATGCTTCTTATGCCAGGTCTACGCCCTCCTTGAGGGAACCTGGCCCAGTCTTTCGCTCCAGGCTGCGAGGGGCTGGCCAGCGGGAGGCAATTGGAGTGTCAACAGTGGTGAGAGGTAACTCCTGATATTGCTGTGACATTGAAGAATCAGCCTCGAAATTATTCTAAAAGCTTTAGTAGAATCAACCTTTCCTGGCTAATGGACTGGCGGGTTGCAATGCTTTGGGGCCTTTAGGTTGCGTGCGCTGAGTGTTTCGCAAGCGCTGCCTTGAATGGCTGACTCCAGATAAAGCCAAAATGCACATTGCCATTTGCGCGGTCATGCCCAGCATGGTCACTGTCGCTCGCCGGGCCGAGCCTTTGGCTGGACGCTCTATCGAGACGTGATTCTTGAGCTGCCTAGAAGACATCTGACTTGCGCACAGCGCTGGAGCCTCGAGCTTGCCAGCCGCAACGCGGCACTTTAAAGTGTGACGTTGCAACAGCGTCCGGGTGCTTTGCCCGTGCCTTTCGGCGGCACGCTCGGGATGGACGCCCAGCCGAGGCGGGAATGGCTGAATGGAAGGGCCAATCCCTTTAGTGTTGGACTGAACAGCAGGATTTTGCAGGGAACGATTGGATGCCGTGGCAATTGGGTTTGGGCGCGAAATCATTTTCTGACCATCAATTTTATTCTGTTGATTTGGGACCGGACATGAGATGCAAGGTGCGCAGTTGCTGCAAAGCCCACCAAGTTCGACCGGAAGCTGAGGAATCATCTACCGGGGATGTCGTGCTTGATGGTACCTTTTGCGGTTCAAAAGGAAGCCAGTGAGAAACCCGCCCATCCCCCGATCGGGAGGCAAACTAAGAAACCAGTTCCCCCAGATGACTCGACCTTTGAATGTGGTGTGAGCATTTGCTTGTTCCCTTGTCAGTTTTAGTCCAGCGGTCCGAAAGACCTTTCCACACTGCCTACCCCTATACGTTTCGAATGTTGTTAATCCACACAATTCGAAAGAACCAGTTGCGCAGGCAGCTCAACCAACGGCGAGTGTGGGGCTGCCAGGGAAGGGGCACGGTGGGAAGAAGCCAGACAGCCAACCTAGCTGCCGTTGAGGTGCCGGACTTTGTAGGCAGATGGCTAAGTTGGTCTTGGAGCATGGGCTCCACGTTTCGCGAGCACATTCCCAGAATGCATTGCGCCTGCTGAGTCTTAGTGCTTACCATCTTGGCAACCACTGGGTCGTACAAGCGATTGGTTGGCGCCTTTCAAGTTTCTGCATTAGTCAAGCCTGTGCATGGGGGGCAGGTTTTCCATTCTCGATGGGTTCCATGGGGGGGATTGGACTTTTCAACATTTCCAGCCATGAGGCAATGCTTGGCTTGTTCAGAAATGAGTCATGAGCCGCGGCAAGCCACATGCGGATGGCGCAGTTGCAGCTGCGGCAGGGAGAGGCCAGAGAGTAGAACCGCCGCGGACATTTGCCTAGGACTGTCCAGCTGCTGGGCAGGAGGCAGCGTTTGCTGCTACCGCCAGGGCCGCGGGAGCTTTTAACTGACGTAGTTGGGCAGAGCCCTCCTCGCCTTCAGTTATGGCAAAAAAAATGCGGGTGAATGCATGTTTGGCCGAAAGGTGGCCCCCAGGTCATTGCACGTGAATTGGATGATCCTTTTATTGCACAAATGCAGCAGAGGGACTGTTCAAGGGTCGGTTTGTCATTTGCTTGTGTGATGTAGGGGCCCCTGGCTTTGGCCGAGGCCAGATACCCGGCCAGAAGCTTTGCAGCAGGCCGAGAGCTTCCGCACACCCCTCTTAATCCTTAGTTCCCCCTAAGATTCGACTGAAGGCATCAGGACAGGGAGGGGTGCGAACGTGACTCATCCGGCGACAGGCCCTCTCCAGGGCCGTGGCGGCGGAGTTTGAGGCGCTCCGAGGGGCTGCCTCCCCAAGTCTCCGGATGTTTTGCAGAAGAAAAGTCAGCTTTCCTCTGTGCGCGTCCAGTCATGGCTTCTGGACAGGGCAGCCCTTGCCTTCGCGCCTGGGATGCCAGGTGCAGCCGCCCTTCAGCTTCAGCAATGACCAAGGCCAGGGATGTGGGCATGGGTGAGTTTAGTCTCCATCCGAACACGGAAAAATGACGCTTCCATTTGCTTCTTTCTCTCAGGGTAGCCCAATTCTCTCACTACCCTCCCATGGGAGGTTATGCCCTGGAAGATCAGGAGCTGGCGGTGGCCGTGGAGGCTCCACGGCGTTCCCAGACCCTTTTGCCACGTGCACACAAATACACCCTGCAAATATCTGCAATTGAGACACGAGAGAATTGCTAGCGGCGCGCGTGGGCAACTCAGGCCGGAGCCATCTTTGGACGTGACCATTTCCCGTGGCTTCAATTGCTGTTCGGAGCGATGAGGTGCATGCTCAGACGAGGGGCGTTTGCTCGCAGGCAGGATCCATCATTGTCAGCGCCCCAGACCCGACCTTCGACATGGCGCCGTGCCTTTGCACTTTGCCTAACTGCCTGCAGCATTTTCGTGTTTCAGTTCGATCCACATGCAGTTCGGAGGCTTCGGGCCCAAAGGTAGCCCATGCGATGCCCCGCGCACGCTGGGCGCTGCCCAGCCTGGCTGCGCTCTGGCTGGCGTCGCATCAAATCTGCTTGTTCTGCGGGCCAGGGACACGCGAGCTTCCGCAGCGCCTCACTCCCCTGAGCGAGGCAGACATAGCCTGCCTGGAGCAGCGGCTGGGGGCACCAAGAGGGTGTTGCACACCAACGTTCGGCCGTGTTGAGCAGAGCCAATTTGTAGTTTTGCAGTATTTTTAGCAAGGACAGTTTGCCTGAGTGGTCTAACGGGGTGCTGGAGCCCAAGCTGCGTGGGCTTAAATCCCACAGCTGTCACTTTGTAACAGTTTGGAATGAGAAAAGAAGGATGAAGGAGAGGCAATCCAGCATGTGGAGCACGGACTTGTTCCACGCACAGAAAAACAGGGACGAAAGGGATCAGTGAGGATCGAGATGGGAAGTTTGGAAGTTTGGAAGTTTGGAAGTTTGGACTGTTGCCTGGTCCGGCTTTTGCGAGACATCCCTGCGCTAGAGGCAGCTTTTCCTGCGGAACCGGACCTGGGATTGGCAGTCAGCCGCCGCGGGCCATCGCTGCCGGCACGGCTGGCCTCAGGCGCACCAGCTTGGGAGCCAAAAATGATCTGCGGCTATCGGGCTGTTCCACAATATGCCTACATTTACAATACATGCACGCCTAATACGCCTAGTACGCCTAGCGTGCCTAGTATTCCTAGTACGCCTAGTACGCCTAGTACACCTAGTATGCCTAGTACGCCTAGGCTTCCCATGTTTGGAAAATCCGGGTGACATTGCTTCGAGGCGCTGCTCACGGATCCCCTGTGGCACGGGCGGCTGGGGGATTTGGTGCGCCTCACCTGCCCGCTACTGGTGTCGGCCATCGACCGCTTTGAGCGCGAGGGCGCGCTGAGGGCCTACAACGCCCGTGCGGAGGACTGTGGAGGTTACTTTGAGTCAATTGGAATCAAACAGTGATGATCGTTGGACCTGGGAGAATCAGCGCGGCCAAGCACACATGTTTGTAAAGCAGGTCTTGGCACCAGTTGCTTTTGCGCACAATCGCTCAGAGCTTGGCCGTGGCCAGCAAGTGTCAATTTCGAGTTTCTTCTGCATTCGTCAGTCTAAGTATCTATTTGCCCGCCTTCCATTGATTGTCCTGGCCTGTCTTCTCAGTTTTCCTTAGTATGAACGCTACAATGGCTACAAGGGAACGCCTCGATCCAACAGGAGGACGTTGTCTGGCGCCAGCAGCTGCTGCGCACCAACGAGGGTCACCGGGAGCTGCGCCGGCAGTTGCTTGCGGGACGAGAGGAGGACGTGGCCGCTGTGAGCCGGAGGACAGCTCGCTCGGGGCCGACGGCCCAGTGTGGGCCTTGTCATTTCGTGGATTTTCTTTCGATGTCCATAGTGGCTTTTTCAAGTTTTCTTGCCGAGTGCAAGCTCCAAGCCGTGAAGGATGGGCTCCAAAGTGGTGGACCTCATCATGGAGACAGGTTTGGCCAACATGAGGTTCGACTCGAACTCCACTGAGGTGAAATGTTTGCACGCGCAAGTCGCTGACGAGTTGACCCGGGGCGGCAACATCATCGGCCGCCAAGTGCTGGAAGACTTGGCAGCTGCCGGACTCGAGGTTGAAGGGACTCGCGAGTGTTGCGACCATTGCAATGTGACTTGCTTGACGTGCTGTGCTGCTAAGGGGGGAACGCACGCAGGCTGCAACAGCCGAATCTTCGCCTGCCCTCCTGTTTGAGAGGCTGCTGTTTGAGAGGCTCCATACGCAGTGCTCAACATCGAGTGGCTTGCAACTGAGGTGAACGTTCCCCTTGATGATGCGCGCTGGACCCTGCAGTCCGCCAAGAACAAGTTGGGGCAACGCCTTCGGCGGCGGCGGTGATGTGCAGTTTGCGTCCCATGTTCACGCCTCCGGCGGGAGTGCGGTCTTGTCCCCGCGTTCGTCGCTGCGTTGCGCTGAAAAAGATGAGTCGGTGCAGCTGCTGTGGGAACAATTGTTCTGGGCAATGTTGAGGGGTACGTAGGGTTGGCGTTGACACCTGGGCCCAGATGACATCATTTCTCTACATGGCTTGTTGGTTACGATGGAATGGGCGGTGGGCCAGGAGCTTTGCAGAGGTCTTACTTGCTGCCACTCTTGTTATCTCAAGCTTGGTCAGCTGATGCGATGCTTTTCACTCCTCGCTGGCAATGTCAAAACTTACTTAAAACTGCAGTTGTTTGAGCGGCATGGGTTTGTCTCAACATTTGGGGACACCCAGCAAAAATGATGGCTTGCTTCCCTTCGAATCGGCACAATTCACAAGACATATAAAACTGGAATCTCTGGTATGCCTCCCCCCCCCCCCCATTCCAGCCAAACAATGCACACACACACAGACGGTCTTTCCTTGGACAGTGGCTTTCATGAAGTTGATTGGTCTATTTGTTTGTTTGTTCTTCAACCCCTCGGTTTTTGTTAAGCAAGCGTCATCGCGAATCGCTGGGCC